GCGTCAAAAACCGTATTAAAGCCGAGCTCTGTCGCTCCCCCCCCCCCGCCCCCGGCCTTGTGACCCAGGCAGAGACAGATGCGAGGTTGGTTTGACACTGACTGTAGCGCAGCCCCTGGTTACCTTTGAGGCGCTCACAGAGTCAATCTCATTTGAGATCAGAACGGCCACACGGGGTTGGACCAACGGTCCAGCCAGCCCAGGGTCCTGGCTTCCAACAGCGGCCGGCGCCTGGTGCCCCAGAGGGAATGGACAGAACAGGGCAGTCGAGGGACCCATCCTGTCACCCACTCCCACTGTGTGGGGGGGCACAAAGAAAAGCCCCCCAGGGCAGGCCACGGAAGTCGTCTGAGCCCACTCATGCAGGCTGCCCAGACCCCCTTCCAAACCAGCCCCCATGACTCCCCCCAGCGAGAGCGCTCCGCTCTCTAATGTACGTCTACACACAGTGCCACAGACACTGCCCAGGCCTTGTGCCCTTTCACCCTATTTCTCAGGTGGGGACACCACGGGCCAGGCCGGCGAGGTGCCTGGCCCAGGATCGCACCCGGAAGGGGTGGCAGGGCCAGACGTGGGGCTCAGCTCTCCGGCCGGGCAGGCCTGCGCGCTCGTCCTGAGCCTGGCCTCTCTCAGCGCCCAGTGGAAGCGCTGGTGCCGTTCCAGCTGCAGCGGCAGGCGGAAGCGTTGGCCGCACTGGGGGCAGGCGAGGGGCGCGGGGCCCACGTGCAGCCACTGGTGCACCGTGTACCTGTCCTTGCGCCTGAAGCCCTTCCCGCACTCGGCGCACGTGAACGGCTTCTGCCGCTCGTGCTCCAGCCGGTGCGCGGCCCAGGCCGCCCTGGAGCCGAAGGCCTGGCCGCACTCCCGGCAGGGCCTGTCCGGCGCATGGGCCCGCTGGTGCGCCAGCAGCGCCCGCTTGCTGCCGAAGCGCTGGCTGCACTGGGCGCAGGGGTGCAGCGGCGGGCGCGCGTGGGCCCGGAGGTGGGCGGCCAGGGAGCGGCGCCGGGGGAAGAGCCGCCCGCACTGCGTGCAGGGGAACGGCTGCTCCGGTGCGGGGCTCTCCCGGCGCTCCTTCCAGCTGCACTCAGCGCAGGGGGCGGGCTGCTCGGTCGCGTGGCGCCGGCGGTGCTTGCCGAGCGTGGTCCGCCGCTGGAGACTCTTGCCGCACTCGGCGCAGGGGAAGGACGCCTCCCCAGCGTGCAGCGGCTGGTGGCGCTGCAGGAGGTAGACATAGGGGAAGACCTTGGGGCAGTGGGGGCAGGGGAAGGAGCCCCTCCCACGCTCCGCCGGCGGCTCCACCATCAGGATGATCCTGTCGCTGCACTTGGTGCATTTGAAGGGCTTCCCTCCGGCCAGCTCCATGCGCACCTTGTCCACCAGGTGCTTGTTGTAGACGACGCTGCGCGTGCAGGCCACGCAGGTGAACGTCCGCTCCCGCAGGTGGGCCCTCTGATGCGCCGCCAGCCTGCCCCGGCCGGAGAGGATCTTCCCGCACTCCCCGCAGGGCAGGGTTTGCTCCCCGAGGTGGGTCCTCAGCACGTGCACGATGAGGAGGCCCCGCTCCGAGAAGCTCTGCCCGCAGTCCTGGCAGGTATTCGGCGCCTTCCCCTGGGGCACTGGGATGGCAGCTGCTCCTCCCGGGGACTTCTGGGCTCCCCACGGCTTCTCCTCAGCCCCAGCCCAGATTCCATCACCTGCCGGGCAGAGAGAGAGACCGGCCGTCACCGCCAGCGCCCCGAGAGGGAAGGAGCCTGGATCTGCAGCAGATTATCGGGGGGAATTTAGCTCGGAGGAGAAAGGGCAGGAGAGATTTCCCATCAGTGATGTCACAGAGAGAACGGCCAGCGCGGTGCAGCCAGCGGAGGGGTCCAGTAACTAGCCAGCAGCGATGAGATCTGCACTGCGGCC